CAGTGTCGTAGTGGGGGGTCGCAGACTAAGCACGGAGCTCGAAGCTTGCAGGCGGGTTTCTGATAAACAGCAATTATCGATCGAGAGGGTCTCGAGTGTTCGGGCAAATGCTGCCTGTTGGCCAATCTGTAACAAAGTGTGCATGTTGAAGTATGCCAGTCTTAGCGATGATCGAGGACTCCAAAAGAAAACGGATGAACTGACGTTGTCCGCTTGGTTGAACATGGACTTGTCGAGTAGATTGGAGTGGATTGTGCGTGAGCTGGAACTAGAAGACAAGAGACCATTCAAGCAAGGTGGAGAAAGGCCAAGAATTAGGGGATTGAAAACGGGGGGAATAAAAGTGACGTTGGAGGGGGACGCTAGGGATGAAAAAGCGAAAGAGAGGGAATAATAAGGCGAGGAGGCTTGAGCAGTAGCATCCTTACCTCTAGACACCGTGCTCGATGCAGCAGATTGGGCACCGTTGATTATCCTCTGCGGTGGCCAGAGCATCAAGAAATCATGTGGAGAGAAATGCATAGTGGTATTGCGTGGGCAGGAGACAGTCAGGTCGCCCACACCTAGACAGAAGGATAGGATTCTCAACCAAAGCCTTTGATTCAAAAACCTTTCCACAAGGCAGCGGAGTTTTGGCGTTGGGCTACAAATAGTCCGTTGTATGGAGTAAGGAGCCACCCTCACTCGAACCCCCAACATGGAAAGCCAGGAGATTGTGTCTGTCAGGCATCTAACCATTGACCGATCTAGTATAAGCGACTCTGAAGGTGCAAAAAGCACCGCCCAGCATGGACCAATGGATCGCTGCGACACACAAGTCATCACATCACGTTAATGTCCAGTCTCGTTGCCATGGGCGCCGTCACATTATCCTAGTCTAACAACTAACCATGAATTTCGCGAATGCAAATAAACTTACTCTGCATCAGCCGTTGCGCAGCGGGGCTAAGAAAAGAGTCGCCTTATTTGCTGCATACAACGAAGTGTATAAGCGAAAACATGCGACCGCTGACGTTTTCATTCTTTCTTCTACTACTGCATATACTATCCTCGATCCCATTTCACCTAACCCACTATTTCCTCTAATCCAAGTCAACACACGAACGACAGCTCAGCACAATCGTATCGCTTCGCACAAAGCGCCTAACATCAGGTGCTGGAACGTGCGCACATTTATCGACTGGAACACGAGTAAGCGCCCCGAGAGACGCACGGCACTGGTGGCGACGGAACTCGTGCGCTACGGGACCTATATTAATCGACTGAATAAGACAAGTTGCATGAAGCTGATGCTGGATACACATTCTACTGGGTGGGGAGCACAATATGAACACGGGGTCGGATTTGCACTATCTGACCATTGGCCATTTGGCCAACTGGTGGATGAGCCGACTTGCGTCAGCGCATGACTGAAGAGAAAAATTTGACACTGCTATTAGCACGTATGGTCCCGCCATGTATTATCCGGAGGGCACGAGGGATCAGTTTTACACAGTTATTCTCCGCGATACGGTCTGCGCCGAGGAGCGACCGACTACTGCTAATGGGTGATCTAAACGCGCACGTTGAGCATGACGTCACAGTGTTGATAGACGTCGTCAATCTATATGGTATTGGAATGGCAAATGGGAACGGTGACAGGCTACTCTCATTGTGCGCCACTCACAGCCTGACAATCACGAACACCTGCCATGAATGGATGCAATTTTAACGTTCTTTCTCCTGGGTATTGCTGACAACAGAATGAAGCTAGAGAAGACGATAGCCTCGAGCCTAGGCGATATCGAATCCATAGCCTCAGTCGGCGACGTGTGGTGCCACATTTACAGGTGATGGCTGCGGGTGATGAAACGATCGACCGCTCAAACTGTAAGGAGCCCGATTATTTTCATACCAACAATGCGACTATTGGAGCTTTGGTGTCGGAGAAGAGTGCAGCATCCTTTGCAAATGTGGATGACCCTACAGATTCCGAGAAGGCGTCATTTTCGCAAACTTCGAAGGCGATTGTCTCGTGAGCTCCGGGAAATCAAGAATACATGTTTGACCGAGAAGTCGAATTAGACGGAATGCTACGTCGAACGCTACCAACATAAGAATTTATGTGACTCCTTGAAGGCGCTGCATGGAACTAAGTTGCAACCGTGACAATGATGCTCGATGTAACTTCAGGCGCTGCCGGCACACATAAAGCAAATCAGAGGAACGCACTTTGGCTCTGTCTTGAACAATCGTTCAGAGATTGACTGGGCTATGCTGCACGGGCTGCAACAGCAGGAGATGAAGATGTGCCCTACTAATACTGGATGAGAAACAGGGAGCATCTAACCAGCTGCGAGGCAGGAAGAGCGCTGGAGCAGACAGCATGTCGCTGAAGTGATGAAACACTGCAGGCCCGCATCGATATATGCACTGCAACACTTAGTGCAACGCGTGTGGATTGAAGAGGAAGTGCCAACCGAGCTGAAAGATGCCCTTGTGCTACCACTGCGCAAGAGCAATGTGCCACAAATTATTGTGCCATCAACTGGCTGAACTCCGTTGGTAAATTGATCCCATGAATCCTGCTCACAGCCTCGTCAGTCAAATGGTGGAACCGAACGTGGCGGAAGAGCAATGTGGATTCCGTTCGGATCGCAGCACCATATATATATATATATATATATATATATATATATATATATATATATATATATATATATATATATATATATATGGTGTTTGAGACTCGTCAGCTACAGGAGAAATACAGTGAACGACACCAGCCATTGTACTCGCTGTTTGTTGATTTCACCAATGCATTTGATACGGTGATTCGCGAGGTATTGTGGCTGGTGTTAGGTAAGTTTGGCTGTCCGAGTAAGTTTGTAAGTTTAATTGAATGTACGCACAGTGGTATGAAGGCGAGGGTGCAGCTGAGTGGACAAATCTCGGATGTTGTCTCTAGTGTGAAGCAAGGCTGTGCATCAGCTTCTGTCCCATTTGAATGCAATGATGCCTCCTGCTTTAAAGATGCTTGTGATTACGGGGTCCGTGTAGAACACTGTATTTATGGTGGGTTGCTGAACATCCGCCGTGTGAAGTAACCATCAGTATGTTGCTGTTTGCCGACGACTGTGCGTTGGTTGCACATAGTGCGGATGAATTGCAATGCATGACCTCGGCTCTCGCTTTGACAGCGGCCAAGTTCGGACATACCATGAACACAAGCAAGACTGTTTGTCTTTTTAAGGCTTTGCCAGAAAAGTGATCCGTATGTTTGCCGCAAATCCACATTGGTGATGACGTTTTGGATGCGACCTCGATTTTGCTACATAGGGAGCGTATTCTCTACCGACCTGCAGGTGACGAGCGAGCTGCACATCCGCGTACCGAGGGCGGCTACAGCATTTGGTAAGCTCGACAATCGGGCGGGGAGCAGTAAGCAGTTGACAATTGGGACGAAGCTGGTGGTATACAAGTCGATGCTTCTGTCCGTTCTTCTATGCAGCAATGAAGCCTAGACGCTCTATCGGAAGGAAGTTCGATATTTGGATCGATTTCAACAACAGTGCTTGTGTCAGTTGGGATAACCGAGTTACTGGCTGGAAGGTGCTGTCGCAGTGACATGCGTGCAATGAACTGCATTCTTCTGTTGAGGCACTTGAGGTGGTTCGGGCATTCTTCGCCACATGGATTCGACACGGATACTGCGTGCATGGAAGCAAAAAGTGGGAAAGCCGAAGTTACCATACAAAGACATCAGTAGGTTTATCAAGAACCCATGTTGACTTTAGATGTTGGGAAGCGACTGCGGTGGATCGGCGCCGATGAGGAGAGCACTTCTTCATGCGGAAAACAAATGCCGAGTGCGGAGGCGACAGGCGCCGGTGGTGTCGCCCATCGACTTCGAGCGCATGGTGCTGTAGCAGAGGCGGTAGCGAGTGTCCCAGCCAAGCCATAATGGTACGACACCAGCGTTGCCACGGGGGGTCCAACATTTAAGGGGCGACGAATCAGTTGAATAGGTAATCATTATCAACGAAACGTTTGGTAACTACGCTGCTTACGATCCAATGTACTATCCCTGGCCAATAATGCGGTCGATGTGATATGCGTGCCAGCATCGCTGCAGTTCATCTGTATGTGTGCTTGCGGCTTGAGTTACTTGCATTTCGAGTGTCCACTGTTGCTTGATATCCCCGGTGTGGCTGCGCCTGATATGTATTGACAGGGTGCCTACCTATCTAACACCCTCCACTTCGATAGTTGCCACAAGGAGATTGTGAATCTTTGCTGGGGGGAAGGGGTACACGACGTGCGTGCCCGTCCTAGACTTCAAGTGTGGTTCCATGCATCCATGGTGGAGCGGGTTACGGCCCAGCCACCGACTTGTGCATGTCTGGTATGCATGACTGCTAAAATAGATAGGGAGGAATACTGTTGATGTGCATGTTTAACACCAGCTTCGTTGATGTAACGTGGCTCCCACTGAGATGCTTCCCAGTCTTATTGTGGGTAGATGGAGCTGTGGGTGGTGCAGTGCAGACCACGCATGGTCACTCTGTAGGCGCAGGCGTCCTGTCGCTACCCTATGAAAGCTGCAGTGAAAGGCAAAACCTAACTAAGATGCAGCCAAGCATACATATGCCTAATTTCAACTCAACGATAATTGAAATTTGGTCAAGCGAAATCTTTATTGAACGACCTTCGTATGTTGATGCTAGGCTACTTGTGGTGCTGTAGAGCAATGAAAGCCGCAAGCTATCTGGCAGATGTCGCTTCATCTTCGCAAGATAACCAGCTGTTTGTGACCATGAGTTATTGATCAGGTGCCAGGGCTTTAACCCTGAATGCTTGCTTAAATCCTAAAGGTTTTGCATTAGGCCATCTTCCTATTTCCTTCCATTTATCGTGGCCACTGAGGTGATCATGGTAGTATAGCCCGAAGCATAAGTAAAGCACTTCTGTTAATCACGATGTAGACTGGTACAATAGCTAGTCAGTATATGCAAACTCACGTGACTGGCTTATTGAATGATTTCGACATTCCAGTTTGTACCTCCTGGCTATTCTGATGACGGATGGGACTATCGCTGGTCGATTGCTCTGGGCCATTGGGATTTGAGACTGGTGCGCCATTCCCTCCAATGCTGTTCCCGAGTTCACCGAACACTTTTCGTAGATGAGCTTCGATTGGATGCCGAACAGAGAATGCCTCATCAGGCAAAAATGTGGTCTCCAACAGAATAGGATCGTCCGAGACGTCAACCGCTTTCATATGCATGTACACAAAAGCAAGAGCAGATGGAAAGAAATACGACCGGCACAGACACGTGGATACAACTGCGTAACATACGGCGAAGATCCGGTGACTGCGGAGATGGCGAGGGAAAACATAATGTAAGTCGAAAGATTTCGCATCTCATATTAAATGAGAAAAACATGCCATGACTCCATGTTTCTTTGCTTGGAACTGGGCAGTCATATAAAGTTTGTATAATTATAATGGTGCCATTAATAAAAGCAATTTCGGATGGTGAAAAATGCAACCTCATCGCCAACAGCCACGGTGTGAACTCAAGCAAATGGTGATCGTTTTCCTCATTACATGGTGATCACTGAAACCGATATACCCGCATGCTTCCTCCTAAATACATGAAACTGTGAGCGGTTACCTTATGCGAGGTGGATGGCCCGAGTGGGGTTCGTCAAGATAGATTTATGTTTCCATGTTCCCATAACTTCCAAACACAGCGAACATGAATGCATATTACCTGCCATCATCTCCAGTAGTTTTAATAAGGGAACAAACGGCAAACTAGCAGCCTGCGGCAAATACAGTTCTCTTTGAGTCGGATTCAACTGCTACGAGAGCGACACTGAATAGGTGGACGCTTACTGTCTCGCCCTGCAGTTCGCATCCTAAAAAGTGTCGCGCGGATGTACTGAAACAAAAGCGCATCACATTGGAAAAAGAAACAGAAATCGAGCTAAATGATCGAACGCCGAATTTACCCAAGTAGCTGGGTATCCTCCGATGATCACATCGCCGAAAAGGTTACATAACATATCAGTAGAATGTACGTGGGTTTTAAGGTACTGGTCACTTAAGCGCATGCAGAGACCAAAGTCTCGGTCAAATGGATGATGTTAAACGTCCCGGTGCAACCAGGAGTTCAATACAATAAATATGATATACAAGGGAGTAGCAGGGGAGATGAATGGTATAGGTAGAAATTCATCGCATCTACGCTCAGCCAGACAGCCAACACAGTCCAGAAAAGCACTGTACGGCCGTTTCATCCTTTCGGGGGTTGTTAGCAGTGTGCATTCCATCGGGCCCTGGTAGTGCTCGGACCCGCAACCCGACTGTTGCCAATCCGTGGTTGAGGTCACTGAGCTACGGGGGACGATAACGACCATCGTAAATAAGTTACTAGATGTGATGTAGCGCCACTCATATGGTGGAAGAAATGGGGTTTGACTCGCATCGTCAACAAAGAAATAAAACTAAATAACAAGACAGACCTGCAATACACAGTCATTGGACATAAGAAATCATCAGTGATGGTGCCACAATGCAAGGTATTAGGTTAAAATTAAGGAAAAAAATAACCAATAGAAAGTGCGAAAAACCAAGTGGAAAAATATTACATAATAAATTTTATCATCGCAAGCAAGATCGTGATTGGGAGGGACAAAGAAACCTACAACATGAACGCAATTGAGGCCCGTTCTTCGCTATGTCAACACGTGTATCTAACCAAACATCTCCGTCATTCTTCAAACACCAACCAAGGAGTCGGGAGACACCAACCGAGGTCAAGTTCGAAGTGATGGTTCTCCTACTTCTTGACCAATTTATCGAGTGACTTCCTTGTCTATTCCTCCATCAAGGTCCCTATCGTGCAAACACCGCAAGTTTCGGGAGTCGAGGTGCTGGCCCACACACATGACCCAGACATCGGAGCTTGGTGCGTACAATAAAGGTGCTGAGCGGTTCACTCGCAATTTCTGCGCCAAATACGAGACACCGGACACGCTCATTGCTCACGTAGTGTTCCCATCAGATATGAGCTTAACTGCGAAAGCAGCGATGGTCGAAGGTAGCTCTCCTCTCTATACCTGTCGGTCTGATGGGTCAGGTTTCGCTTCCGTTCAGGAGTGCTAATCGGATGACTGCATTGCAGACTCAATCCTCCAAAGCGAGAGTGGTATCGCACTGAGTCCACAAGTCTCGGATATTGGCGAAAGTACGTCGAGCTTTTGCTGAACGGTTCGTGATCTCATCCGCTTTTAGATAGCCTTTAATATAACTACCGCGGTAGTCGCATTTCTGAACAACTTCTAATGGATCGCCAACAAGGGTGAGCGCAGCAGTGTCCTTGCTAATATTGGAGGACTCTGCATTTCGAAAGTGCAAATCATAGTCCGAAACGATTGACAGTCTGTGTTGCGTCGCACGTTGTGAATTGTCACAGTTGAAAAATATCATCGGCACATTCCAAGTCAAGAAGTCGACCACCTGGGAGTAGCTCCACACCTTGTATGTCGTGTCCAGTGAACGCCATTTCCATGACTTCATCATTGGTGAGGAGGAAAGGTGACAGCAGGCAACCTTGTGTCACACAAGTTGGGATATTGAAGGGCAATAACAATTTGCCATTAATCCTCAATCTGATCAAACTAGGCGCAAAAAGCGCTCTGGTAATGTATACGTATTTCTCGGGCACAACTTTCCTAACCAAACGGTCCCAAAGTGCACACCAATTCACCGAACAAAAAGAACCCTTGACGTCGAGGAAAACGACAACGGTGGGCCGCCAAAGTATCTGATGGTGCTTCAACTATTGACGTAGAGTGAAAATGTGATCAATGCAGTCTCGATTTCGATGAAACCCGGCTGACTCTTCACGAATCTGACTTTCGAGGATGCCTGTTTATCTGTAAAGAACAGCAACGGTAAGTAACTTAGAGACGACGGATGTCTCTATAATCACCGCACTTATATCGTGAGCCTTTTTTGAAGATCGGAACAATAACGGAGTAGCACAAGTTGACTGGGAGAGTTTCATGCTCCTACGGTTTCACTAATAAATCGAGATAATCGTTCTCAAGAGCAAATCTTCCGAATATGAATAGTTCAGATAGAAGCGCATTAAGTCCTGCGGCCTTATACAACTTCAGCAGTTCGATCTCGCGTTCGACCTCTACGCAAGAGGGCGGATCCGAACGGACGGCCCATGGGATAAGGTAATCACTGGTCGGCGGCGTGTCTGGCAGTCCCGGCCAATCAAATTGCTTTCGAAGTGTTAAATTCAACGTCCAGAGCATTTTGACAGGCTATGTATGTTTTGTCAATTTCCGTCGCACATAATCTCGCTGACACTAGGTGTTCTGCTGCCTGGTTCCTGTATCAAACAGAAGCAATTCCGATGGTCATCAAAGGGGAGCGGACGTTCCCACTTCCGTCGTACGATGACGAAACCAGACGTGGCGGTTTCTGTCAGACAGACACGCACTCTTCATCTCAGGTTTTCGAGTCTATTTGTGTTCGCTACCAACCAGAATCTGGAAGTTCCCGAGGCTGCGCAAATACCGAGTGTCCAGGTCGGTAATTAGAATTACTACCTACCTACTACCTACTGCTAAGGAGATCTGGTGAATTTGTGACCAAAGATCTTCAGCTGGGTTCACTGAGCACTTAACCCGAAGGCCGGCGTACTTTGCTACGCGTTCAGGACACAGCTTCATTAGTTGGCAAGTGTCCATACACACACTGCGTGTTCGTGGGCGTTCGCTGAAGCGATCTCAGAGATCGGCACATACATGTGCTCCAGATAGAGGCACTTTTGGACTCAGTCTATTTTAGTAACGACCAAAATACAATCACTAAGCCACACGCAAATGTGACCTCGAAAAGATGGTAGACCCAATGTGGATTCAAACACTACGGTGCTGTTTATAAGATATTAACATGCGAAAACAAAGCCCACTTGTTTGCATTCTTTGGACGAGAACGATTAGCGCTGGATAAGCACCCAAAACGTCCGTAGCACACGTGATCGTCACGTCAATAGTCGTCCAAGAAGCAAGTGAACGAGACGAAAAGGTTGGCTCAAAGCAGGGCAATCGATGGGTAGACTGACACTGGAGGTCATGGATGGTGGATGGAATATGACAGACACGATCTGTGTTATATATAATCGCATGATTCAGAGAGTAGGGTGGTGTGAATGAGCGGGGAGGGTTCACAATGAACGGTCAAGGTCACTCCGTGGACGCAGCGTGGGGAGTAGCGACATAAGGTTTAAGCTGAACCTTAAGAGCAAGATAAGCATGTATACGCACATACAAGACAACGGGACATGGAATGTCTGGAGTCGTGAATCCCAAAGTAACTGGATCAGGAGATTTCCACACAGACTGCGAAAATCCAATGCAATATCCAGCGGTAACGGATCGTGAGGTGACTGATTTGCGCCCAAGACTGTTAAAGGTCAAGTCACACAGAGACGAGTGTTGTGTCGGAAGTTAGTGCTGGCAAGAAATAGAAATGCATCGTCATACAGGTAAAATAACCCTGATCGGTATTATTACAGGGTCGTCTAGATGAAGTTCATAAGTAGACAGTTTTCCAACTTAAACGTTCAGATCACCAGCCAGCAACATAGAGTCCGTACTTGTCGAAGATGAGGAAGATCTTTCACATGGTGATAGAAAGTAACGATTACTGAGCCAGCGCGTGGACAGCAATGACAAACGTGTACCTATTTGCCTCGAGCAGCCTCCAAGCTTAAAACAGCCAATCTGACGGCGCACAACCGGCTTTTGATTAGGATATGATGGACAATGAATCATCACCATTATGAACAGCAGTACATCAGCCATTTGAACTGATGCTTCGCTGCCATAATGACCTACGAAACGAAGAAGAATAACAGAGAGAGAAGGGGGCTTACCGAAAAACCTTGATACCCTAAGCAAATACTCAGGGTTAAGGCGCCTACACCTTGTCAACAACATGCAATCACAAACAGATGGCTATCGTACAAAGATAAGTCGGGATCGACGAGACAGCTACATTGCTGCTTTCACTGCCCTGCGTCATAATCAGCCATTACCCTGCAGATAACTCAACACCAAACGCACGATAAATAGGCAATCTGATTATGAGACGGCAGCAGACGCGCCACTGGTGCCGACTGCGAGCCATGTCCTGTAAAGTATCGAGCCAATTACAAGGCGAGTCACGTGGACTCCAGTCTGGA